TTCCTGTAGATTATCTGCAGGCAGTCAGTAACTGGCTCGCTGTTCTGCTCCCCAAAATGAAGCCTTGGCTCTACATCAATGGTGGTAACATCATAAGTGTCCAGGTAGAGAACTGACAGTTGCATTCTTTATTATATTTAATATCTTAAACTTCAGTTTGAATGAATCCTCTCCCTTAACTGCAGGTGGAGAATGAATATGGAAGCTACTTCGCCTGTGACTTCAACTACATGCGTCACTTGCGGACTCTGTTCCGCTTCTTTCTCGGTGAAGACACGGTTCTGTTCACCACCGATGGAAACACGGACAAGGAAATGACCTGTGGGTCTCTGGAGGGGTTATATGCCACGGTGGACTTCGGCACAGGTGTGTTCAGGAGATAGCCGCAGCTGCTTATTTGGAGTTACTCAAACAGAAATGTGTAATTTCTTCCATTTATGCCCTCATTCAGACACCAACATCACTGAAGCGTTCAGTCGGCAAAGACGGTTTGAGCCTCGGGGCCCTCTGGTTTGTTGCGTGTTAATTCATAATTACTTCCATTCAGTAATTGCTGACTCGTCCAGCTAAGCTCCGAACAAATGTCTTACAGGTGAACTCAGAGTTCTACACCGGCTGGTTGGATCACTGGGGAGATCAGCATGCCGTGGTTGATGTTCAGAAGGTCAGCAGAGTGTTGGAAGAAATGCTAACCCTGGGCGCCAACGTTAACATGTATGTCTCCTCTAACTCTTCATCTGTCCAAGGTTCATCCTCTCTGCACAGATTTGGTGAAAAGATGTAGCTCTCATTGCCACAGCCACAGACTTTCAGTGCAAGATGACAGCGTTGGCGTTCAGGATATTTTGGCTTCATTTCTTGATAGTGGGAGAAAGTAGAGATGCATTTTTTATATCCAATCTTTGTGGAAACAGATTCAATGAAAAGACCAAAACAGTTAATTTATTATTTTCCAGCTTCTATTAATTCCTTCTGACAATACAACTCTCAACTTTACTCAAATAGGAAAAGACTATATTACTGGGAGCATGTTTCTCCACCGCTTTAATATAACACACGGATGAATTTCTCACTGTAATAACTTTCTGTAATGTCTCAAAATAAACACACACAGTCCCCGTGTTCATCGTAATACAATAATAACTGCAGCAGTGTGGTTCATTAAAGGGACCAACATGGCAGGTCTATGGCACAGAGGAATAAGCTGTAACAGGCTGCACAGACAGAACTCTCCGGTGGGATCAGTTTAATTGGATTTCTTGACTTGAAGAATTAAATCATCAGCCTCAAACTTAAAGATGCACCAGTCAAGTTGAACTGATACATGAAAGTCACCTGTTTGAAGAGCAGCAGATTGCTCTGAAGTATTAACAGTCTCACGTCCTCTGTTCTCAGGTACATGTTTGAGGGAGGCACTAACTTTGGCTACTGGAACGGTAAAGTCCTTGTGTTATCACTACATCAGTGCGGGTGATAAAAGCTCATGTTGCGCTGCAGTCGTCTCATCTCTTGTTTCTCTCTCAGGTGCCGATCATGACACCAGGTTCCGCTCAGTGGTGACAAGTTATGATTACGACGCCCCGCTGTCTGAGGCAGGAGACCCCACAGAGAAGCTGTTGGCCATCAGAGATGTCATTAAGCAGGTACGTCTGATGCTACCGCCACCCACCCAGGTTGTTGTCCTGATTACACTTGTACCAGGGTGGATATTTCATCTCAGTGTTGGGGGAGGGACGATAAACAGAAATTTCTCGAGAGCAATACCACAGAAAGTACTGTTGTCTAGAGGAAACCATTATCGCTACTATACTAGAGCGGTTCCACAGAACCCGAAGCTGCACCTCCACTGCTGCACAAAGAGCTGTTCACTTGTTTATTCAACAAATTCAGTACGCAAAACCCCAGACAGGAGAATCAGTTGTCTTTGTCCTGAATGCGCCGTTGTTATGTTGTTATGTTGTTACGTTGACGGGTCCCAGCCACTGCTGCTACACTGCTCTGGTCACTTGTTTATTCAAAGTTTATTAAGTTTATCTTTTTTCTAGATATGTGAGCCTCATACAAATAGACCTTTTTAAATTATATCAGCCTGTTCAAATGTTTTTTAAGTGCTCCGTATCAGTCCATTAGCTTCTATAAACATGTTATGTCCAATCAGCAAAACCAAGAATGACCAGTAGGTGGCAATGGGACACCATATATGAGTAAAGTTTTCCTAATTACAAAGAGAAAAGTTTTATCTTATTGGAAATGGAATTTCTTTAAGAACAATCATGAAGTTGTTACGGTATTAATTTGCCATTTAATCATATTTTTCTGAAACTTTTATGTTGTCGTTATATTTTGGTTAAGTTACTTTAAAATATTACAGAATACTGTTACATTACTTTTTAGAAAAGGTTAAGTATTTGGAATCAAAACCAGAATTTGTTTAGGTGACAAATTATTCAGTATCATGAGTACATGCCTGACATTTTTAATTAATCAAACCACTTGAAAACCAGTGTGAGAGAAGCTTTTTAAAACTTGAAGACCCTTTATTTTGTATCTATAATTTACTGTTCAAAATGATATAGTTATGCTTGCAATGATATTGAGGGGACAACTTTCTAATTCTGAGGAGAGAGGGGTCCAGACCTGCTGTGTCTGAGATGATTCATTTTATACATTTCGGTTGCTTCGCAGTTTCGAGAGATTCCTGCTGGACCCATGCCCCCAGAAACTCCCAAGTTTGCCTATGGCTTTGTGACACTGAGACAGGTAAATGCTGTATTATTTCAGGGAGGCTTCTATGGTAATAAGCTGCATTTTCATGTTAATGATGCAGAAACATTTTACAGGTTGGTAACATCAGTGCTGTGCTGAACACCCTCTCGCCTCTGGGCCCAGTGGAATCTCAATATCCTCTGACATTTGAGGAGATCAAACAGGTACGGTGCCTCTGCGGGGTCAAAAACAGGGGAGGGCCCGTTGAGGCTGTAAACCTCTTGAAACATGGAGAACTTCTAGGCTGTTGTCTGCAACCTGTCATGTCTATTGTGTTCAGTACTATGGATTCGTGCTGTATCGGACCACGCTGCCCCGGGACCTCTCGGAGCCCACGCCACTTATCTCTCCACTGAATGGGGTTCATGACCGTGCATATGTGTCCGTCAATGGGGTGAGCCTCTACAATGAACTTTTGTTGTGTAACCAATCAGATGTCCATGTCATGTATGGGGGAAACACAGGTTAAATCCATGCATGCTTGTGCTCCAATATTATTTTGGATTACTCAATTATTTTGTATTTTACTTAATGTTCATACCCAGTGGCTGTGTATGTATGTGTGACCAGGTTTTTCGGGGCCTGCTGGAGAGAGACACAGTGCTGGTGATGAACGTCACTGGACAGCAGGGGGACACAGTGGACATCCTTGTGGAAAACATGGGCAGAGTTAACTTTGGCAGCAAAATCAATGACTACAAGGTTCGGTCCAATCCCTCTTTTTTTCTTTAAAATTCTTTTTCTTTAGCTGTAACAACAAAACTTAGTCTCCACAAGTCATTGATATTACACCAAATAGGAAAATATTTCTTTTTTCCTTTGTTAAAAAGGATAAATATAAACAACAGTATTATTTTTGTTTTCCAAAAATCATCTACAAACTTATTAATCAAGATATTGACCAGGGTTTCTGGGTGGTCCTGAAAAGTCCTAAACATTTAATTATCTGAATAGGCCTTAAAAGCTTTAAAATATTATGTAGTCTTAGACTCTCAGTCATAATGGTATTGCTTTATGTTTGCTATATTTGAAATGTTTTGTTTTACAGTAAAAACAATGCAGATGAGATGTCCATTTATATTTATGTATGAAGAGTTAAATTTTCTTAATTGAAGATCAGTTCATTTGCTTGTATTGGTTGGTTTTTTTTTTTTTATGAGAAACTTTGTGGTTAAAGAGTAAAATGCCTCAATTACATGTATTTTTATGAGGGTTTGGTAAATTTATCTTAGGAATGATGGCCAATAGATTTTTTAACATATATACATATATATCGGTATTGCAAAGGTTTTACTCAACAATATCAATATGGCATCAACCTCCTAAAATCCAGATTGGTACATATATAGAGACATTTTTAAATGGAGTAAGCAACACAGATATTTAAGTTTATATTCATTACTAAAAAAAGACTTTGAAAAGGTGTGTGTTACACAGGTTTAGTTGGTGACAACCAGTATGTCTACTGCAGGGCCTCTTGAGCAATCTGATCCTGGGCAAAGACATACTGACTGACTGGCTGATCTTTCCTCTGGACATTGATGGAGCCATCAGTAGAGGATGGCCTCATTCAGACAAACAGTCCTTCCCCGACCCTCAGAGAGAACCTTCAGCTGGACCTGCCTTCTACGTGGGGACTTTACAGCCTAATGGTTTGGCATGGGACACCTTTATCAAGCTCCGTGAATGGACAAAGGTAATGCGAGTTTATCTTTTTATTACAGGGGATAAGTTAATCTTTCTTTTTCTGATGATAACATTATTCCTTTTTCATATCAGGGTCAGATTTGGATCAATGGTGTGAACTTGGGGCGATACTGGCCAGCCAGGGGTCCTCAACAGACTCTTTACGTCCCAGGACCCTTGTTGAGCACCACCCTACCCAACAACATCACAGTGCTGGAGCTGGAAGGGGCGCCAGTGCATTTACGAGTTCTCTTTACGGATCAACCTCAGCTCAATTTCACAACCTGACAATCTGAACAGTATTACTAGTATTTTTTTTTTTTCACATGTTGCCAAATCTTTATCAGTCACCATCCAGTGTAAACTGCTTTAGCATTTGAAACAACAGCCTCACAAACAGTGATCTGAACTTAGTTCTGTCTTTTGGTTTGATATTTTTTGATCCATAAATGGTATACTTTTTATTTCAATGGTCGATTTTTTTATGCTTTCATAACTGCAGATAATGTAAATAATGAATACATTTATTAAATTATGTTTTTATACAGCACATTGTCATATACACGAACATTGTCCATAGTTATAATATCTGAAATGTGTTGTGGGAGTTGAAAATGAAAACTAGCACTGTGGTAAAGTCTAAACAAAGCTGCACAAATTCACTTTTACATTTCATGAGGTAGTTTCCTTCCAACTGTACATTTCCACACTGGTGTTAAGTCTTGCCTGGAGGAGCATTTGCTTTTCGATGTGCTTGAACACAGCGAGGGGTGCAGAACGAATACTCTAGGTACTGGAAAGGTGTCTTCCCGAGCAGGGACTCTCCACACAGCCAGCACCTCCTGGTAGCAATGACAGAGTCAGAAATGCATTGAATTTCAGTAACAGTTTTGCTTAATGGCGAGTGGAGCCATTTGTGGGTCTTACTTGGTGTTAGAGAGGCCGACTCCTGATGCAGCTACTTGCTCTGCTAACCTTCTCTCTGCTGCCAGAGCTCTCTGGAAATAGGCACACGATGAGCATTTCCACATTTTTTAAAACTTAATTGAACATTAGTGATTGAGTGCACGTTAACTCACCTTTTCACGGTCAGGCAGAGAAGCAAACCGCCTCTTCTCCTCTGCCTCTGCCTCTTGTTTCCTATTCTCCTCCTTCTGCTCTTTTTGTTTCTGTTTCTTCATTGCCTTTTGAGCCTTTTTCTTCTCCGTAATTTTGGATTCTATCTCTGCCGTCAGTGGCCCTGGGACCTTGAGTTGCACAGTTATGTAAGTGCTCTGCTTTTATTTCATGTAACGCATCAGAAGTTACACCACCAACTCTTACCTGTGCCTTGGTGTAGTCGTATTTATCAGGATTTTCACCCATGTATTTGCGAAAGACATTCCTCGAGTCTTTGTCGGGGGCGACAATGTATGGAGTCTGCCCTTTGTTATCCCTGCAAAGTAACATTGAGTTAATTATTTTACTGTCAATTCTTCAAACTATCACACTGAATTTTTAGTTTTACTGAAGTTGCCTGTACTATTCTTTCGTACCTGCAGGCTGGGTCAGCTCCTGCATCGAGGAGCAGCCTGACCACTGCCTTCTGTGCAGCCGCTGATGCAACATGCAGCAAAGTGAACCCTGACGAGTCTATGGGCTTATTGAGGAGAGTCCGAGGACTCGGTGCATCGGAGGGGCTGCTCACCGACTGCTCTCCACTCTTTGTTGTTTCTCCAAGTGGCTCGAGGAGTCTACTTAGAGTTTCCATGTCTCCAACCTTGCAGGCCGTAAAGAGGGCATCCCTGAGGCCATACTCCCATGACTCATCCACGGTTTCTATGAAAACACAGAAAGCTTAATAATGAGTTTTGAGGGTGAGAAATAGGAGCAATACCAGGGACAATAGATGCCCTCACACACCATCAACTTGTTTCTTGCTCTGTGTTTTTTTCTTCCTCTTGCTCTTTGGTTGTGTTGCTCGCTGGGTGTCTTCAGTGGGCATTGCCTCTGGTACCTCCTCTTCTTGATTGTCTGCTTCTGTATTAATCAATTTTGTCACAGATCAATGTGAAATTTCATAAACATTTCAACTATCAAATCAGAAATTCTGTGTGGAAAGAAATATATATCTATCCACCTGCACAACACTGGACTGGACCTACCCTCAGTTTGCATTTTGGCTTCCTCCTTCTTTCTCCTCCTCCTCCTCCTGTGCCTGGGGGGGTATACTTCATACTCCCTGAGGTCCAGGGTTCCTAATGTCAGCTCTTCCATCTCCAGCTGGATCTCTCCTGCCTCTTCTTCATCTGAGCTGTCACGATTTTCTTCAGCTGATGCCAAAATAGAGATGTATTGTCAAAACTAATTTCAAGGTAATTTTACTCTGTGTGGAAACAACAATAAATGTCCCTAATTTTGGAAAGCTGTTTCCTCAGGACATTTAATCAACATCTTAAACTTACCTTGCTCCTGATCAGTCTTTTTTTGTGGCACCGGTTTTACCATTTTTTTCCATGCCTTCTTAGATGGACTGAAGACTGCAGACATGTCTGTGTCTTTCCCTGCATTAAGATATTTCTAATTATACCCTGGCTGTATAACAGTGAGGACACAACATGCTATTATTCCCAAGTGTGTTATTCAGCTTACCATAAACATGAACTGTGGAAAGCACCTCGTGCACCCTCTTTACCTCTCGAAAAGTCGCCCTTCGTGTGGGAAAGGGAATCGTGCGGATCCTTGGATCTTTTTTGTCGAGGGGAGCTGCCAAACCACTAAAAAAGATGGTCTTGTTGTAGCTTGACGCTCGTATAAATACTGCGGCCGCCTCCTTCAAATGTTCAGCCCAGGTCACCAGGAGATCCTGAATGTCCTGTAAAAAGATACAGAAGTGTTTCAGAATGAATAAACTGCACAAGGAAAAAGCTTACAACTCTGATAAATAAGATGCACTGACAAAAGGAATTCAAGGTTTAATCAACATCAGCCTTCAACTTATTTCGGCTCAATTTGTAGGTATTCAGTAAATAAAATGAACCTTTCATGGCTGTAACTGAAGAGGCAAAACAAAGTGCAGGTGAATGGACTTATGTCACCTTGACAAGTGCTGCCTCATTGTATCGCCTCAGAGCAGCTCCTGCGGACTTCGGCATGTGGCTGCGGTTCTGAGAGTCTCGGAGTCCTTGAGCAGTGCCTCGCTTCGCTCGCACCGTGTATCTGTGGAAAGTCTTGTGCTGAAGAACGTCTTTTCTGTAAGGCAAATCAACTGTGTTAGGCAAATGCTTGCACATCAAAGAGTGTGTGCTATTACTCTTATGCTTCTTGCAACAACCCAACAAATATATTTAAAAAACTGTCTTACCCTTTGAATACAGCACCAGCAAAGTGGCCTCCACCAGTCATCAGAATGACCCACACAGTCTCTTTATTAACGACCATCAGAGAGGATCCTGCATCCTGCTCAGCATCTGACTGAAGTTGCAGACACAGAACATGAAGTTATCACAAAGATCACACACTGAACTGTACTGTGCTGTGCTGTGCTGTACTGTGCTGTGCTGTGCTGTACTTGCTGAGCCTCACCTTCGCCTGCAGTATGCAGCGGTACACTGACAGATACTGTCCCACTGAGTTCTGGAAAACCATTTTGCTGGAGAGCCGACAACTTGTTTCAAACGAGCTCTCGTTATCCGTGCCGGTGATGTTACTGCTTGTTCCCTCGCCGTTGCTATTTGAGTTTTCTTCCTCTGAATCGGACTCTGAGCATGAGATACTTGACACATCTCCTGTAACGTGACAACTTAAAATCAGTCAGCTGTTACATTCACATTTCTCCCGGTTAAACCATGTACATGTTGGACTGTGGTTTCCTCACCAGCTCCAGTCTTCTTCTCAAACTCCTCCATAGTGACCGGCGGCAGTCCTGACAGTTTTTGTCTCAGGTTGAAGCGATGCCAGTCGAGCTTGTAGTGCTCCATCTGATAAGTAAAGAAGTGGTGATGAAGAGTCAGCCTTCATCACATCAGCATCTTTCTTGTTAATCCAAAGTGTTTGATGATCACCTGTTCCTCACGATGAATAAAGGGGCATCTGCAGGCTGTGCAGACCATCTTGTCTGACACATCTTGAGTCAGGCTGGACTCCCGCTTGCTGTCATCCTCTGGACATTTATCTGCCAGCCCTGTGTCTGGGGTTTCAAACAGGCGGAAAGGGAAGCGAATCGTCTTCATAACATGCATTAACTTACAGCTACAGGTCGTTTTAACATTCCCGACGGTTTTGATTAGTTTGCTTGGTCTCCAAGACACAGCAAGCAGCATAGATTTGTTATCTGAGGTTAATGATGGCAGAATAACGAGCGGGCAGTGACCGCAGACGAGCTGGCCATCACTAGCAACTACCAGCCTCCACTGTCAATAATCTGTGTGGGCTTGACAAACTTGTATTGTTTTTGACCCGACTTTCGCATGATTGGAGTTGACGTCTGTACTAAGACTCTCACACTGAGCTGAAATGATCCTCTCAATCATCTGTATTGATCAACTCTGTCACAGATCTATATGACATTTTATAAACTTTGCAGAACCTCTGTGGGACTTCCTGGGTTCCTATAAAGCAGCTATATCCACCTACAGGATGGCAACACCGGACTGGACCTAACCTCAGTTTGCGTTTCAGCTTCCTAGATATTCCATAGGTTGACAATACTGCAGTAATGCCAATAACAATGCCAATAACCGTGATAATCTTTAGTCATGTTCATACCAGTATATACAAATACACACTGTGTGAGGCTGGCTCGGTGATCGCAGGCTGCTTCAGGACACGGTTCACTTCTCTCAGTCCGAGCAGAGCCTCATCATCTGGGCACAAATCGAATAAGGAGCGGTGATCAGCGTTGGTCGTCATGATCTGTTGGAGCAACAGAAACGGACTCTTGTGATTGCAGTGTTATCTACAACAACACGTTTCATTAGGAACACACACACAATCATTAACTACACACCTCTGTTGTTTACAAGTCCCTCAGACTCCTCTTTATGTCCGACATGACAACAGTAGAGGTACATGCTGGCAACAACACTTACACATTAATATAGCTCATGTTATTTCAGCTGATGTCAACTTATTTGTCCTTTGACCGACACGTGTCGCGATGACTAGCGGTGATTGTTGCCTTTATTCAAAAGTACAGTCTGTCCCTCGCTTCTCTAACAGGGTTTTAAGTCAATTACATATGATCTAATTTATAATAAGATCGTTTAAAAATAGCAACTTACCATAAAAAGGTCTCACAAGGCTTCGTAGACGTGTGGTTACACTACACTTCCCCCCTGACAATCTACGGAAGCCTCAGTGTGACAATAAGGCTCAAATGAGAAAGTGTTCACAGGCGAGAGTTTCCCTATAGACTATGTGATTTTACTTAACTATTTGATTATTATTTTAAAGGGGATATAAAATATGAAACGATATGAAAAGTGTCCTTTATACAAAATTTAATCAAAGACAAATTAAATTAATCAAAGACAAAAGGGGGGGGGGGGCATTACATCACTGACCATAAACTCCTAGTATTTTTAGGATACTATCAAGTCAAACACTTTATTAGGTGCAACAAAATATATACAAGTTTAGTTACAAATATTAAGTTCAATATAGGGTTTAAACAAATTTACATTTACAAAACATTTTTCCGCTTTGAATTCCATTTGAAATGCTGGTTCATATGTTGATCGAAGCCTCTGCTGTTGGCAAAACAAAGAGACAGTATATTACAAACTGTGTCAAAAAGTAGTTGACCAGGATGTAGACGTCCTCCATATACTCGCCTTACCAGCCGCATTATGAGCTTTAGCCCCTGCCAGCTGTTTTTTCACTTCCACAATTTCAGCAGCAAGACCCTTCGCCTTGTTCTCAAGACGCTCACTTCTTTCCTCTAAATCGCTCTTTTGATTTCTAAAAAAAATAAATAATTAAAACAACGTACACTGTAGGTTTGTGCAGTTATATCTTCTCATTCTTTGTGCACAGAGTGTGGCAGAATACCTGTCGTCAAAAGGTAGAACATTCAGTTGTTCAGAAAGATCCCTTTCCTCTTGCAGCATATGACTCAGCTGCTGTAACAAATCAACGACTCCGATTTTATCCATCATCAACTCGGCCCTCCGCTCAGTTTCTCTGGTGCTGCAAGTAAGTGCAGGACTCATTCGACATTTCACAACTGCACAAAAGTCAACACACTTCAATGTCACACTCAGGTACTGTATGTGCATATGTTTGGTTTTGCAGAATTAATTGTTTGGCTTTGGCTTCACTCAGGTTGATCATATTAAAAGATTATGATTTGGAATCTTTTAAACATAAGGGGTCCAGTTCAAAAAGTTGTTTATCCATGATGCAGGCACTCAATAATCACTAATACTCAATAATCAATAATCTTAATCAATCACTCTTAATTAATATATAAAGATTAAACCTTGATCTCACTTTGCAACTTATCGTGTTACTCCTTAATTTTGTCCAAACATTTCTTCATTATGCATAAACTCTGCAATACAATTTGTTTTGATGAATTCATTTAAGTGTTGATATGGTAAGAAAAGTGCTGCCCTCACACAGTTTGTCTTCACTGCCTGTGCAACACTGGCCAAATTGTTACCTTCGCCAGAGAGGTTGTGTATTAATTTGTGCTGTTAGTAAGTTAGTTGATTTGTTGATTAGTTAGTTAGTTAGTTAGTAGTCCACACAAAAGAATCTGGATCTAATTAATTGAAATATGTTTTCATCAGGTGACTGTGTGACCATGACTATTTCTTAATCAGAGAATTACATAGAGATTACCACAAATCTTCAAAAGTATGGTGCAGATCTGGATCAGGAGGCAGATCAAGGATTTTTTTCACTTTCTCTAAGTGGGAGTGGGGGGGTCAATACACATTTAGGGGGCTCCTATTTATGAGTGCTTTGAATTTTTACCATTTGGAAACTGACAGGTGCCCTTAAACATGCCTGTGGCTAAAGATAATTGGTATTCAGGCCCCAGTTAACATTGCATCGTCAATTAGTAGCCACCAGAGGGATGGATGGAGAACAGATGCACTGAGGCCCATCTTCTGCATGTAAGACTACTGAGATTTATATATATATATATAAATATCATGGATAAACACACCACTCGTCCCTCTGAATGAAGGTTAAAGCTCGTAAAGTTGAACCTGAATTCAAACAAATGAACGACAACCACGAGCGTGTTCAGACAAAACTGTTTTACACTCGCTCCACTAAACTTAAGTTTCTATAAACTAAATAATGGTTAGTCTTGTATTACCACTGATTTGTCTCTTGCTCGATAAGCTGCCTCTGCCTCTGGGCTTCCTCCAGTTGCACTCTGTGTTCGTGAATCGCTCGCTGCCGCTCTCTGATCTGCTCCTGCAATTGAACAAGATGGATTACAGCGTTCACAGCGTATCTGTGTTCGCAAGCAAGGATGAACACTCGGTGTGAGAGTTGACGAGCCGCTCAGAGCTTTGTCTTTAGTTATTTCTGTTGCTAAACTATGAAACTTGAGTAGAATCAGCTGCGGCCACCGACATCAAACGAGGCACATTTAGCTAACTTGCTAGTTTGGCACTGTTAGCTAACGTTGACTGCGTCCTACCGTGAACACCTCGTGTGGTGTTGGACATCTCAGGCCGGGGAAGTCGCTCATGATGTATTCCTTAGTTTCAAACACTCAGGATTTGCCGAACTGCCATTCACAGAAATCAAAATTGTAGAATGAACCGGACGTGCGTTATAAAGCTGCCTCCTGATGGTGCGTTCAAGGCCCGGATAGCTCAGTCGGTAGAGCATCAGACTTTTAATCTGAGGGTCCAGGGTTCAAGTCCCTGTTCGGGCGATAGTATTTTTCTCTATTCACAGTCTTAGTCTATGTTGTTTTTACAGATACAGTTGTACAGTTGTATGACAGATACGTATCAATTGTTTCAAGCAAGACAAAAGCGCATATCAACTGTTGGTGAGATTATCAGTTAGAAACAAAACACTACTCCTGGTGAGTATATAATACTCCCCAAAGCCTAAAATTGCCCAGGACCTGTGCCACACATTAAACCATTTCATTTAATGCTGGTCATTGCAGTGGAGCTGTTATTACCGACAGTGAGACCTCACATTATCCTACTGTTGGAGTTGTTGTTTGTGAAAGCATCAAACTAATTTGGGGATTAGACTCGCTCGCAAGAGCAAAAAAGAAACATTAACCATGTAATTTACCAGAGATAATCACGGTTGTTTTCCCCACACAGTGATTGGGAACACATATAAAGCTGGGCGTTTGCAGGTAAAATGGCAACACTGAAGACATCTGACCTGCAAAGATGGACCGGATTATCCTCTTGTTCGTGGTCTCTGCCTGTCTCTCAGCTGTACATACCCAGGTAACTGTGCATGGGATTGCAGTGGGACTGTGATTTTTAAAACAAGATTAGCAATAACCGCATTTGAAACAACTTTGTCTTTTTTTGCAGAAATTTTTGTTCAGCCCAAAATGGGGCCCTATCGGCTATAAAGGTAAAGCAAATACAATTTGGATTTGAAAGAAAATGTTAATGTTAGAGCAGGTGAGGTAGAAGTGCACACACTTGATTCATAACTCTTCTTTTTAAGAGCGTGAAGAGCAAGGTGTTGGGACAGCAATGGATGAAATCATTAAAGCTAATGAGTTCCAAGGTAAGTTGCACACAACTAACACAACAGCCTGTTACAAAAGTTTTTCCGCTGTAGCCTGATTACATTTTCCCTGATTTCTTTCTCAGCCTCACGAATCATCGACGGCTCCACCACTCTCAGAGAGGGAGACATTGCTGTGTCTGCTGGAAGGCGCTCCAAAGTCTGCTTTGCACGGAGCTGCCTCTGGGCGAAGTCAGTGGATGGACATGTCTACATTGCATACAAGCTATCACCTGAATACTGTATGTTGTTTTTTTTGAAGTTCATAATTAGTTATTTAAATAAAGTTTTCTACAGTTTACGTTATAATTAATTTAAATATAGCTTTCTAGATTTAAATAAGATCATAATATGACAGTCTAGTTGTTTCTAATATTCACCAACAACCTCTCTCCATTATATCTAAACTATTCAACAGCTGAAATGGAGACAAAGCTGATAAAGAAAGGGATGGAGAGCATGGAGAAAGGAACCTGTGTGCGGTTTGTTCCCTGGACTCACCAGCGAGACTATGTGGACATCCAGCCAAAGTCTGGGTGAGGGGCCTCTGCCTGGAAAGTTTGATACCACAAAGTTTGTCTTTGTTAGACAATTTTTTTTTTAAAGTTGGTCCTTTGGTATTTTTCTACTGGAATGCAGTGTTCAGTAGCAGCAGTTATTAGAAATACATTTCTTTGAGTTTTCTGAATCATACCCTCTCTGTCTTGGTGTGTTAATCTAGGTGTTGGTCCTACCTTGGTGCACGTGGTGGAAGACAGACCGTATCTCTCCAGAGCCCTGGCTGCCTCCAAGTCGGAGTGATTTCCCACGAGTTAATGCATGCCCTGGGCTTTGTGCACGAGCAGTCCCGCTTTGACCGGGACAGCTATGTCAGCATCATGTGGCCAAACATTTGGAGGGGTAATTTCAAAGGGGCGGGAAGGGGGGGTGGCCTTGGGGAATAAGATCTTTACAAACGGTAAATTAAGGACTTTTCATAATTAACTGTATTTCTTCAGCAGTTTACTAAACGGAGATGTAAAATGCTCTTCATTGTATATATTAAAACAATGATACAAAAATCACGAATGCTTTAAGCTTAAAAAATATATATTATTCACTTTCAAACAGATCGTGTAAGGAATTTTGAGAAATTCAAGACCGACATTCTGGACCTTCCATATGACTACAACTCAATCATGCACTTTGGGATGTAAGTAATGTGACTTTGATTTAGATCAGTGAATAACGTCATGGTAGAATTCATTCATTATAATTTATTTTATACATATGTTTAGGTATGCCTACTCTCAGAATGGGGAACCAACCATCATACCTAAGAGCACCAAGGTGCAACTGGGCCAGGCCTCGACTCTCAGCCACATTGACAGGATGAAAATCAATAAGCTTTACAAATGCGGTTGGTACCAAACATCCTGAATTAACCTCCACCAATTAACTAGTAGTCATGGAACTAGTAATCATAATGTGCAAATAATACTGAAGACGTCTGTCACTGTCAAATGTTTGATTCCTTTCTGTCTCTGTCCCACAGGTGACAAGGATGATTATTAACTCAACTGAGTGGAGATGAAGCGAACTGGAAGCTAAAAAATGAATTTCCTTTAAATCATGGAAACAGCTCCAATAAAGATTGATTCAAGCTTTCTATCAGCATTTCCTCTGTGTGCAAACAAATGTGAGTTCAAACAATACATGTTGCTTCTGTTGAGACAGTTTTAGCAAAGAGGTTTGAACACATGTTCATTACCACTTAGTGTGACTATCTACCCTACATACACAGCATAGGTCATTTCATAAATTGGTCAGAGATTGCATGAATGTAAGAAATTGTATTCCTATTGCATCCCGACTTTATACAGTGAATTAAAGTATTTAAATAATTAAAATGTGTTAAAGTCGTCCATTTTAATCAGAAGAAAACTAAAGAAAACATTCACCTAGGTTAATATTGAACCAATAGATACCACATTAATGATCCACTATTGAAACTATGAATCTTTAACTCAGATACAGATATTTTATAGCAATTATTTACTCGCAGTAACCAAAGAGGCAAGATATTAAAAATACTGCAACCACATCACATTCATCACTTGGTCAATGGCCTTCAAATTCACCCCTAGAAAAATGTAGAGTGAAGGGTAATGTTTGGCTTTTATATATTTACCTATGCAACCAAATGATTGTCGTCAAGATGGTTATCAGCAGAGTTTATCACAAAATCACTGGTTACCAGTTTAGTCAGACACAAATTGCTGGTTTGTCTGACTTGGCGAACAGTTATTCTCACGGTGGCATCTGCTGAGTCGTTGCACTATCTGCCAGCCAAACACCTCGAGGTGTCTCATCTCTGAAAGTGCTGAATGTGAACAGAAGTTAAGTACAGAGCACAAGTGAAGGTCAGCAGAAGGGACCACCTGTTATGGCTCAGCAGTGGACTTGAGTAAATTACACAGACTGCTTGATGAGGGGTCTTAATCTTGCTTCATCATGGAACATGTGCCCAATCGGTACAGGGCACAGGAGGAGAAGTGGGTATATAGATTCAGAGGAGGTGAGGAGTTGCGTTAGCTCGTGCACTGCATCTGGAGACCACAGACAGAAACTTGTACACCACTCTGAAAAGCCACAATGCATTCTACCATGATCCTCCTGGGTGTCCTCCTGGGCCTGTTGAATCAGGTGTACTCTCTCCCTGTTAAGGTCAGTAGCAGTAGAAAATACTTTTGGGTCAGATCCCCCTTTTAGTCTTATAATGTATTAAAGTGCACTTTTGCATTACAGAACTCTACAGGAGTACATGAGGGAAAAGTGAGATTGAAAAGGAAATACTCAGGTAAGTAAAATTTGTACACAAACACATCATCATGCATTTAAATAACTTTACATTTTTATGCCGATTCTTATTTTTTGAAATATTAAATTTTTTTTAAAACCTCATCTTGCAATTAGATGAGTTTCCTGAATTTCCAGAATGGGACGAAATGAACGTAATGGATCAAATCCTGCTGATGAATAGCAGTAAGTTAGCTGTACATTATATCAATTCATGCTTTTTAGTTTGTTATTGACTCAATAAAATGTTTTTTATTTTCTCATAAGGGTTGCGAGCCCCTCGAGGACTGATATTCAAAGAGGGAGATATTGCCAGTTCATACATAAAGAGTGCTATAACCTGCCCTGGCAATTCCTGTCTGTGGCCTAAATCAGTTGACGGATTTGTCTATGTACCATACATCCTCTCCCCACTCTACGGTACGAATCCAGACATTAAACAACGCGTTATACAAGTTTATTTAGAGTTTGAATCTTTATGCAAATGTTACCTTTTTCATGGCAGACGACATGGACAGAATCACCATAGAAAATGGAATGCAAGACATTTCCTCTGGAACATGCATTAAGTTTGTTCCACGCACGCATGAAGGCAGTTTCCTTGATATTCAGCCAAGATATGGGTGAGTATGACTGCGACAAATTTCTACCTCCACCATTGACGTTATGTTTCAATTCCATCTGTGTACGTTGTTTGTCTGTTAATTAGCAGTATTACACAACAACTACAGGATGGATTATAGATCTCCATGAAAAAGAGTCAGACATGTTTAGGGGACTGATATCTATTAGTGTGGGCAATTTGGTGTAGATCCAAATAAAAATACAGATCTAGTTGATTTAAATGTGGTTTCATAAGGGTTAGGATATACACGATACTCAGTGCCATTCTCGTTAGGAAATGTAATACCTGTCTTTACATTTTGTTTAAATATAATTCTTGTGTTGTGGTTTATCACTAAGGTGTGATTTTTTTTTGTTCTGTACCCCAAGCTGCTGGTCGTTTCTGGGGCAGACTGGGGGAAGCCAGACCTTGTCACTGCAGACTCCTGGATGCATGTGGTCAGGAGTGGCCGCCCACGAGTTCATGCATGCACTTGGCTTTGTGCACGAGCAGTCCCGCTCAGACCGAGACCACTATGTCACAATTGTATGGAAAAACATTGTCCCAGGTCAGGATAAAATAATCACCTCCCATCATCATGTCACATTGTTCAGAAAGTCTTTTAGTTTGTCACTTTTACACTCTTCTGACCTTTGTTTTTTTGTGTTCTGACAGACCAGATGCATAACTTCAGGAAACAGCTTACAAACAATCTCAACAGCCCATATGACTACAATTCCGTCATGCATTATGGAAGGTAAGCTGCTCTTTGAGGCTACATACTGCCAGGGTTTTTCATGCATTACTAACATAAACTTTATGAATCTTGCAGATATGCCTTCTCTGAAGACGGTGGACCAACAATAATCCCCAAACCAGATCCTTACATTCCCATTGGCCAGCGAGATGGACCCAGTGCTCTCGACCTTCATAAAATAAATGTCCTATATAACTGTGGTAGGTGAACACCTACATGGCATTTGATGATAAAAGTATTTTTTCTATTAAAAATGACCAATTCCTTCATTTGTTTTTCTTCTTCTTTATAGGTGCCAACGAGTAGCTGGATCCTGTCATTCTGTCATATTCTGTTAAATCCGCTCTGAGGTCATAATCGTCAACATATTACATGGGAATCATAAACTCTTAGCCATATCATTTTTCTGCATTACTACTTTTGAATAACTATCACAAATTCTACTCAGTTCTTCTGCATTCTGTCATTTCTGAGTACAATCTACTAATCTTGTCATTAGATGAAATAAGAATAAGAATTGAAAGCAGTGTTTCTCTAACATAAAGAAAATCATCACTGTATTAATGTCAGACTGAAACTGACCAGTTTTTCATGTGCCTTCTGCTGACAATTAATTCACAGCATGCATTCTCTGAACCAGTTTGTGCCTCCTTCTCAGCTTCTGCTCAGTTTAAATAAAGAAAGTGCAAAGTACAAATAATCATGTTTCTTTTTGACTCATGTCCTGCAAAGACACTGTGATCCCTATAGAACATATATATGGTGTTACAGAATGTCAGACTGATCAGATCTTTGTCTTTCCGGGCCAATCTCAAAGTGACAGCTCCCTTTATGTGCACGTACCCATGCGGAATGATCAGGGGTTGAGCAAAAAAAAAAAGAAGAAGAAGTTATTTTTCATTCATATTTCTTCCGCTGAACTAAGCCCTATAAATTTCAAGAACCAGACAAATGAAGTCAGCCGTCCACTGCCACTATACAATCCACTGAGTGCCTGGAGCAAGGCACACACCTTTCTAACCACAAGATAAATCATGTTCTCCTCTTCACTGCCTGAATATAAAACTGGAGGAGAAGAGAAATGAAAAGGCAAAGAAACGCAGGAATAAGGTGAGGAATTTAGATGGCAGGAACAGATGGTCAATGGTGGTGTTTATGGGATGACAACAAAAAACGTTATATTTTTCTATATATAAACCAAAGCTTAAAATTTACATTTATTGTAATTCCCTGAGTTCACTAAATTGTTTTATTTTTATTTTTAATGGTTGCTTAAATGTCTGTCACACATTATAACTTTTTCCATATAATTTATGTGTGTTTACTTGTGTTTATTACTTGTGAAGCACTTTGTAACATTTTGAGAGGTTCCACATGAATCATTACTATTTTGTATTTTTATAAAAAGAAAATTCGTAGAACATCAGCCAAATGCACTGGTTTATTTGATTTATTTATTTTCATCTTGATGAGTGGCCTTGACAAAAGTGGTGTCTCAGATACAAATCAAATATTAATGACTGATAAATTAAAAAAGTTGTTTTTTGATATCTTACTGAGACACATGTTTTACATAAAGCAATGGTTTTCTTTACAGGATAATTTGAGGCTGGTGGGAGACGGCTGCATTATATGAACAGAACTAATTTTGAAACTACTTGACTTAATTTCAGTCTGTCTAATATAAATTCCTTGTTTATACAGATTTTGTATTTCTTTATTATTTTGTTCCGATTTCCACTGTTGACTCCTCTTTTAACTTTATAATCTAAAGTCATGCGTGTTACTGTTATATCTACAGACACACGTTATTATTAAAGATCTTTTGAATCTCTTGAATCTAAATATTCCAACAAAGTTTCCCGATCTGAGTCCAATATGTCATGTTTCTATTGAAGCCGTTATGTTGTCTCATCTATCGCACACTGATCGTCACTTGCATTTCACGCTCTTACTGGTTTTGTTTCGATTAAATCATAAATTAGTGATTTTCTTAACGAGCTTCGTTGAGGAGCCGGCAGCAGTCTGCGATCAAGTGTGAGGTCCATGGTAGCAGCGCACGAGCTCATGGGCGGAGCTACAGCTAAAACCTCGCTGCTGCTACACACACACACACACACATTGTGGACCGCAGCTAGCTGAACTGTAACATATTCACTGTCTCTAAAATGAGTGATAACGGAAAGGGTCGGGTACGTATGAGCTTTTATTAACGCGTTGTTTGTGTCATTTCATCTGGAGCGTTTACGTGACTCGCTTGTGAGGAACTGCTCTTTATGTTGTGTTAGCTAGTGCGGGTTAGCTAACGTTAGCTAGCTAGCTTAATCATGCGGTCCATGTGAGATAGTCAAAGAACAACGGGTATTAATCTCATACTATCGACCAGTCAATATTATATTAAGAATATGTACCCACAGCAAATGTCTAGTTAAAGTGTAGTAGAGTGTGTATACGCATTATAATCGTTAACTAACGGGCTAACGGTAGCCTGGCGGTGTTAGCTAGTCCTCAGGGCCTGCAGGAGGAGGCGTGCAGCGCAGGGACCTCGACGATAATGTCAACTCTCACCAGGCAGATGAACCAGTTTTAAAATAACACACCCAAAATGAAAGTTTTCCTGTTTATTGTTAACGTGGGGCATTTGAGAGGTTCGTGTTTTATCATGTTTTAAAAGTTTGCTGAACGAGTTGATTATTAATTAGCCAGTCTGCAGAAACCGAGGGGGGGCGGCTGGTGTTTCTTTGTCGACATTTAGTCTTCAGAATCAGAATCAGAATCAGAGGAGGAATTTAATGTAGTACTTGTAAAATGGTGGTAAACTTCATTCAGACAAGATACGTCGCATATCCATGTGTTGGTGTGTTTGGGGGTTTATGTTTAGTGCATGAATCAGTGTGGTTTCTGTGTTTTTTGGCGTGTAACGTTGGTCAATAATTAATAATGCTAAACATCTTAACAATTAAGAAAAACAAGAAACGGCCTCAAGTTTTCTTCTCACTCATTTTATTAACTTGCACGTATGAAACGCATACTGCATGGCAGGTAGTCACAGTTTGGTTCCTTCTGTCAGAGGACTGATCAGTGTCTGTGCATTATTTAAAACAGTTCAGTGACTTGGACTTAAACCATTTCTGTGAAAAGTCCCATGCTGCTCTCACAGCCCTATAGAATAGAGATGTTCCTTCCTGATACCGATCTGCTGATATTGAGTAATGATATCAGTGCATTTTAATAGCTATATGCTACTAACCCTGTATGGAAGTGATGATTGGTATCATTGTTGTCTGGCTCAGTTAAATCCTTTGAATACAGAGCATGAATGCCAAAGAACAACTGTGACCAATAAATAAAGACTTGCAGGATTAAATATTGCTAAATTGCAGACATTTTAGCTATTTCTGGCAAATGCTACGCTATCAGAAATCACCTCTTCTTTGCCATTCCAAAAATAGCAGTTGTTATGGGCAGAACAGCAGAGTTGCTGTTTTGGAGCAGCAAAGAATAAGTGATTTCCAGGAAAAGAAAATTGAAAGTTTTTTCTGGGTGAAACTAATACCCATTAAAATCATAGCATCAAATTGGTACATTGATTCATGTATTCGCAGATGCACGATCTGACACTAGGCAGAATTAAAGGCATTACTGATGCTGGTATAGGTATCGGAACATCTCTACTGTAAGAGCCAGATTTAAATCAGGCATGTGGGGCGGTTTGTCCTATACATACTTGAGTTTTGCCTGCATGTAGCTTGGGTCACAGGCTCAAATAAAGAATATATGAAGAAGGGCAAGCTTTTTTCAGCAGGAGCTGAGATTAGTAGAATGTTTCTGTATGTATTTCATTGATATTTTGAACCCGCTGGTTCAAACAATTTGCATGGGACACAGTTGTTCCTGTCAAATGACCTTTAGGTTTGTTAGACAGCTGTTTTCCTGTAGACACTGTTGCCCACATTCACTGTGGACATGCAGTTTGCAGTGGCTTGCTGGCATAACAACCTATTTTGTTTGCACACCAGCTTCCACTAGTGTAATGTACTAGTGGTCTCATGTGGTTAGTTGTGTTGCCTTATGGGAAATCTTCAAATGTTATGATGCAGTTTATCGCAGTGAATTATTTAGAAGTAATTTTGTGAACATGCAAGTTTACTAAAGGTTTATGTGCTGCAAAATTTGCTCCCAATGTTTCATGACTGTTTTATAATCAGTGATTTAAGTCAGCACAAATGAGTGACTGTGAGAATCTTGAGGTCGTTTGGGCTCTGTTTAAAGCCAGAATTGATCTGAAATTGTTCAGCAGACGTTCACATTCAGTGGTTTGAAATGCACTTTTGATGCCTTAAAGGTCACTTTTAAGAAGTAATGTCAACAGACCTAATTTGGAAAACCTTATCTAGGAACATGTTATATATTTTTAAAAAGGTAAAATGTGAACATAATGGTGCCATCTTGTCAATGTGTGCGTAATAATGCTATTGTTTTCCTGATGACGTGTTGAGACACAACCATGGTGTTAAGATTTGCACCTACTTTGCTTTATATGTGTCTTAAAGTGGCTGACGGGATACAACAGTGAATGTAGAACCACTGAAAGTGAAGTGTTTGTAAAATTAACACTGAAGATTTTTGCATTATGTGAAACATTCCCATGCATGTGTAAGATCCTATAAATGACACATTAAAAGTTGAATGAGGTTGCAGTTTTAATTGTAGTCATATATTCTTCATCCTTTTCTTTTTCATAAAGGTTAAGGTTGGACGAAGAAAAAGCAGAAGAAGTCTCATGTCCACTTTATTTTCAATAATACGAAGCTCAGATGTGTGAAGCTGAATTGTTGAATGCATGCTAAAACATGAGGAGGGAAGAAGTATGGGCAGTGTGTGAGATGGGGGAAGTAAGAAGAAGTAAAACAATTGAAGAAAGAAGAATAATGTGAAGTAATGAAGTTACAGAAATGAAGTTAAGGAAGTAATCTGCATAAGATCACAGCGCTAAGTAATTTTCTGGTCTGTTTGTCAATTGCGTGCATGTTCTTTTCACTCATATTAGTTTATATCATTACAGTTTAAAAAAATCTGACACATTTCTGTTAATTATACACATTCATGTAATCATATTAATGTTATATCCATTTCTCCATAAAATATTTATCTGCTGTCTTCTCAATTGTAAATTATTTTCTTTTCTGTACTCCATACAGGATAGTCTTGATTCTTGATTACATAGAAATATTCAGGCAAATTTCTCAGTTTGGCCTCACATTGGTACTTATAAGATGTGTGTTGGTGTGTGTGGTCCGTTCAGGAGTCTCGCTCTGCATCCAGGAGCGCGAGTCCAGCGGCCTCTGGGAAATCTGCAAGCCAGTCCCCAGCTCGCTCGAAAGCAGGCTCCCGTCATTCCCGCTCCAAATCTCGGTCCCGGTCCAGGTCAAAGTCTGGGTGAGTGAAAGTGTTTTTGGGGACAACAAGAGCATGATCTCTGTTCTATCAACTGTCAGAGAGGATGTGAAGATCCGTGTCTGTCTGTTGAAGCAGCCGTAGAAGTGTTAATATGAATGTGGAAGTATTGTTTCCGTCTGTACAGGTCCCATTCCCACCGTGGCTCGCGCAGACACTATAGTCGATCTCGTTCCCGCTCAAGGTCCCATCATCGTCGATCTCGTAGTAGTAGATCCTACAGTGGAGAGCGTCGACGCAGGAGCCACAGCCACTCCCCCATGTCCAATCGCCGCAGGCACATCGGCAACCGTGTAAGTGTTGAATGACTCTTGATTTGACAAATCTGTCTCTGGCCTCTGATCTTCTTACATATTTGTATGTCCATTTTATTTTTCACTGTTACACTGTTATGTGCTTGTTCAGCAACTTGACCTTGATGTCTTTCAAACTGTAGACGAACCCAGACCCAAACTGCTGCCTGGGAGTGTTTGGCCTGAGCTTGTACACTACAGAGAGGGATCTGAGGGAGGTCTTCTCCAAATACGGCCCCCTGGCGGATGTCAGCATCGTGTGTGACCAGCAGTCGAGGCGCTCCAGGGGCTTTGCCTTTGTTTACTTCGAGAACACGAACGATGCCAAAGAGGTACAAGAACATGAGTTGATAAAGGCCTTTGTCCAAATGGTTCCTGAAATATTATATGGGTGCTAAGCAGTAATTCATATGTTGGTCTGCTGCCAGGCAAAGGAGCGAGCCAATGGCATGGAACTGGACGGTCGTAGGATCAGGGTAGACTTCTCCATCACAAAGAGACCTCACACCCCAACCCCTGGAATCTACATGGGCCGACCCACATAGTAAGCCATCTGCACCATACAGAGGTTTTCATTCATGTTAGGACACTTCATTTTAATTCCTCAATCGCAAAAATGTGGTGTTTGTTTGTGTTTGATCCAGTTTAAATGTAGCCCCTTAAAGACAAAAAGTAGTGCTTATAAGTTTCTGTTAACTTAACCATTTGTACATAACTTTCTCTGGCTTGTGTATAAGACTTGTACCTAAAGACATTTTAAGAATCATTAAGTTATCTTTCTTTTCCTTCATAATAATTAAACCAATATAATGTTAAACGTTTTCAATACTCCCTCAATTGTATTTCTCTTTTTCAAAAAGTACAAACATTTAATAATGGATTGCAAGCACTCTTCTTGAAAGTACATTGTAGAGTCTTCCTGAATATCCCATATTATCCTGTATTCATCCCATAATGGTGAAACAGTTTGCCATGTGCATTAGATAAGAGCAGGAAGACTTGCAAAAGTAAAATAAGATGTATAACTCCATATATTCCTCCTACTGTGTAGTGGTGGAGGTGGAGGCGGAGGTGGAGGTGGTCCCAGTGGTCCTCGACGTCATTCACGTGACTCTGACCGAGGGTATGAGCGCGGGTACGAGAGAGGCGGCTACGATCGCTATGATGACAGGGAATGCTACAGATCATACAGGTGATGATGCAAACCCTCAGAACGTCAGCTCATTGGGTTTTGGTTTGGGGTTTGTTTTGTTTAGACCAAATTATTTATTTTGACCTGTTTCAGAAGAAGGTCTCCATCACCGTACTACAGAGGTGCTTACAGGTCTCGGTCCAGATCGCGGTCTTATTCTCCCCGTGAGTCTTTCTTTTGTATTATCCACTATTTCACTCATTATGATTCAAAAGGTTGCAGTGTGTTGGAATTTCTCTTATGACTGTTTCGTTTCACAGGTCGTTACTGAATGTCACCTTCAAGCAAAACCCTTCCTCTTCCCAAACACAGGGAGGAAATGTTTGAGTGGAATGATTGATTTCAGAACAGCTGTTTTTTCATGAGGTGATGTTCATGACCAGTAAATGTAAACTGACCTGAGCTGTCCCTATATGTTTTTAATTTTCAATTATATAGACAATCCCTGCCGTAGTCGGCATATTAATGTTTAGATTTTTTTGGATACAATTTGAGTGATAATACAACTTTCAACAGATTAAAAGCAGGATCCGTTTTTTCCACTTTTGACTTGTGTCTCTTCTTACTGCACGTCATCACTTGGCTAACAACTATAGGGGTTCCAATACTGATACAAGCATCAGAAATGCAAAAATGGCAGGTCAGGCATTGGCAAGTTCACAAATCGATTTACTGACCTGATACCACAGGTATTTTTAAGTATATTGGTTTCACCCTGGTACATCAGCATTTTATTCCTGTAAATCAGGTCTTGAAATTGATTTCCGGTAATTTAACGTAACTAACTAAATTGTCTACAGTTTGCCAATTATTGAAGGAGGTAATTGTTGAAAATGGTATGGGAACATCTCTACTTGAAACATTTGCTGTTTCAAGCCTGTCATATTAAATATAAAAATGCATCAAGGTCTTCATCTTACCACGTTGATACTTTTACAGTTGCACCTGCAGTGTATGTGTATGCCACTTTTAAAACTAGAGATAGTCCATTAAAGAAGACGAGTTTAAACATGAATTTTCCATCTGATATAACAAAATATTTAGGCAGTATATTTAAGTTTGCTTTAAAACAGTGTCCCTTTATCTAATACATACTTTGGGGAAAATGTCAAAGATGCAAGTTCCCTTTGTCTTATTCCAGATCTCTAGTTGTCTGTCCATATCTTAATTTTTTTTAATGCAAATTCAAATAACCTGTGTGAAACAAAATGTCACTTGAATCTGATTGTCAGGCTCATACAATATGTCCTGATAAGAAGCTATAACTTTGAGTAAAAGGAAAAAAAAACATGTTATATGATGAATTCAAAGTACTTTCCATGTTAAGGGAAGCCTATGTCTATCGCATATCCCTGAGTAAACATAGCTGAACAAATGGAGTTGATTTCACCATGCAGTGTTTACTCCTTCGCTGTTCTCTCACCATGCTGGTGTAGTGATACCCGCTGAGCGGCGTCTGGCTGTGAGGAACTGAAGTCCAACATCTACCCCTACTGGGCACAGAGGATCCATGACATACTGTACAGTATGTCCTGTTTGTTTGCTGTAGTTTTTCCATTTTAATATCTGAATTATTCAAAAAACTTTTTTCCATACCTGTTGCAGGGTCAAACTATGCAGATCATATTTTATTTATAATATATGTTCTTCATCTGATTACCAAGGAGATGAATGGATTTCA